TTCCATGCATTGTCAACAATTTAAGTTTCTCCCCTTTGAAACATCTTTACTCAATGCCTAACATTGCTCACATCAACTACTGCATCATATACACATTCTTCAGATGTGTATGAATCTCAACAGCAAAACAATCCTCTTACATCAGCAACTCAATTACCGCTCTTTGTCAACCTAATCCATAATTCACTTGGTGCAAATGTAAAAACAGACTCTTGCAATTATTCACTTAGACCATATGTATGACATATATCAGGCAATTGTATATAAGTTCACTCACATGCATTACTATATATATACATATATATATGTTCTAAAAATCTAGAGTTCTAGAAGGAAAGGTTAGTCTTAGTGTTCCAGTATAGTGATCAGCTTCAATTGAGTGATTCACTGATTATGGGCCTTCACATGGTTAGCAGTAAACAAAACATTGTCAGCGTAGAGTATTATGTTAGAATGTACTTTCATTCTACCCTTACAGGTACACCAAACTGTAAGCACAGGCAAGGAGAGCCATCAGCAAGGATCAGGCTGCCAGTTCATTATCAGTGTTGTGGGTTAAACTGCTTTAATTGCATTTGACAGGCTTGGGTAATGTGGGAGTACAGGCTACTTAAGGCATTTTTTAATTTGCTAAGTTTAATAAATACTACAGTGAATATGTGCTCAGATTTGTTATGATTTAATTAAGCATAAATATTACTGTTCATTGTGAACTTTTTTTTTTGGACATGTCAAAACAATTATCTGGACTTCAAGGTGGCATTTGCTAAAAAGTAATAAAGCCATATGTTTATTTAAAAAGACATCTGCTTTATTCTGTCATAGGCATCACATTCCAAAACAAAGTCCATTACATTTATGAAATCTAATAGAGGAAACAGAAAAAGGTCTCAAATAGATTCCCGGTTTATAATTTAATTGCATTAAATTGTATAGTGTGAATTTCTGTATAAACAACTGTGAAATATACAATTATCTTTGATGGCTAATATCCTCATCCAAGATTATAATGGAATTAGGATTGTTTCCATGTTGTGTTTCTGACAGAGTGACAGAAACACTGTGGGGGGCATTTATCAAAACTGGAGCAGAGAAAAAACTGGAGCAGTTGCCCATAGTAACCAATTAGCTTCTCTCTTCAGTTTGTTCACTTAAGATTTGAACATGAAAGAGAGAACAAAGAACGAAAAAGGGCGCCTCCATAGTGTAAAAATGTAATTTAATAATAAAACACACAGCTCTAGGCTGTACTTACAGAAATTCAATAGAATAAAAGCCTGTAGAATTTGATGGGAAATCGGAACCTCTAGCAGGGAGAGTCTGAAAAGATGTAATCAGAACCTATGGTTCTGATGAAGGGGGCGTGCCCCGGAAAAACGCAAACCTGTTGAAATCATAGGGGCAGAGGATGCTGGTGAATTACATCTTTCCAGAGTCTCCCTGCTAGAGGTTCGGATTTCCCAGTGAATTCTACATGCTTTTATTCCATTGAATTTCTGTAAGTACAGCCTAGAGCTGCGTGTTTTATTATTAAATTAAATTTTTACACTATGGAGGCGCCTCTTTTTCGTTCTTTGTTTCCTAGATTGGCAGTCTATTTGACCTGTGGGAGCTGCTTCTTTCGTGTTTGCCTTATTAAGCTGCTGGTCACATTGAAATTGAAGGCGCCAGTATTTCTTTTTGCATGGAAGAGAGAAGCTGATTGGTTGCCATGCAAAGCTGCTCCAGATTTTATCTGCTACAGTTTTGATGAATTCCCCTCTGTATATTATGAATTAAACAGAATGTATGGATCAGTTGATCTTGGTTCTAATATTCTAGAACACCTTGATCTTGGTGCACTGGTAGGACTTTTCAGTGCAGATGTTGGCATGGGAAAGCCACAAATCTTTTATACATCTTCAATGCAGATATGAAGTGAAGGAGGTTCAGTTAATGTGAAGAGTTAAGTGCAGGGTAATAATTATCGTTAGAAGTTAGGATGAAGGTTAAGACTATGGTTAATGGTTAGGATTTAAGGTTAGCATTAGAATTTATGGGGTTAAAGTTTTGGTTAAGTTATAGGGTTAAAGATAAAAGTCTAAGAATCATTATAAAATGCACAGACTATGCACATTTAGGCTTAAGACATCACAGGTGTTCTGTCACATTTTTCCTTTTGCAATGGATGGTTCAAAGCTATAGAAATTATTTAGCTAATAACAGAACATTACTGTTTTGGCAGATCACCCAACAAAACACAACGTGGGTGCAAGTAGATAGCTATACGTTGTATTCTAGGTTATATAATCTCGTATTCTCTTTGAAGATCTCTTTTTGATTTCATGCACAGTATAATGTATACATGCTAAGGTGGCTTGGTACACTGTATATAAAGAAATAATAACCTTGACATGAAGGTGGTGATCCATCCATTTGAAGGCGCTCGCCCAGTCTGCAAGTCAAAATTTCATTACCAACGATGGTGAAGCCCGGAACACACTGATAACGTATTATGTCCCCTATAAAATATAAAATGTATAAAACAGAATACTTTCATATACTTTATTGTAAAGGTAAGAAAAAATTGTATCAGCATGCAGAAATAACATTTTGGGATATTACTTAGCTGCCATAATTGTTATATAAATACAGAGCTTTGCTTCCAAAACCCTCTCATTATAGTGACAGGAGAGGTACAAAGGAGCAGCCGCAAGGGATGAACAAATTGATCTGCGACCCAAAAGGGAAAATCATAGGATTTAGTTTCGAGCACATGGAAATGTATTGTGATTCACTGGGAAATGTTATAATCTCCAGCAGCCTTTAGAATACTATACTGTTGCCAAATATTACATCAACAGCATTTCATAACTGACCACCACTACTATGCCAAAGACCTAATACAAACAGTGAAAAAAAAATTTTGGACTGAAGTGTTAGCAGTCAAGATTTAAAAAAATGAAATACACTATAAGAAAACCCTACCTTCTAAAAATGATAACACATAGTAAGCACACACTTTTTATTAAAACAGGCTTTCCCACTTTAGCCCTAAAAACTGGGAAAATGCTGGGAAATTGAGAGTTTTGGGAGGTATGCTGTGATAAGTCGACAGCATTCATCTGGACCATAATTCCAGTGTCAGTTTTAGTTGCATTACCCCCCTTCATAAATCCTGACTTACAATCCCATCTATCACTATTACACACAAGTGCTACTAAATGTAGTAGACCTTTTTGTATGGGAATTTAAATAAAGCATTTGTCAGGCACTCAAGACTCTTGTGAAGCACTTCCAAGTGGTTGTTCTGATAGAGTCCCAAACTTAACATCTCAGTAGACATGTGGGTATGCATTGCTTGCCATTTATGCCCAAGGTGGAATAGCAATTCAACAACATAAGCATTTGATGCACTTCTACATTGAGTGCCCATGAGTGCTTAGCCTCATTACTAATATACATTTATGCTTCACTCTACAAAAACATTTCACATAGCAGAAGTTTTACCTATTTCAAATTCATCGTCTTCTGCCAAAATTTCAGCATTTGGCACAGAAGTAGGCGACTGGCATATTCTCAACTGGTAGGCTGTTAAAAAAATTAAAATAATTATTTTTAATATGAACTTAAGTACTTACTGAGTATTGATGTTGAGGTCACCCATAAGACTGAAAGCTGTATGCATAAAAATTATGTATTGGAGCCACTGATCAATGTATTCTTGTTTCAGTTTGACTGTAGAGTACACTGTTACTTATATAAAAAAAAACAGAGAACATTGTTGTGAAGGCAATACTACTCTGCATAGCCATACCATGTTTGCAAGTTTTGACTACCATAGACCTTAATAACACTTTGTTCTGGTTTTGCAGGCTTCCAGCTGGGCTCACTGACCATCCCGCAAAACAAACTTTGATAGGTTTGCTTGTCCCTATCAGATGTTTGCTTTAGTACAATTTTCTTGAAAAGGTTGTCCCCTCTGCCCCCCCAATCTCAAGTCTTTAACTGTACAGCTCCTGGGAGCTGCACAGCCTCTCCATGGAAAGTCTCCCAGGCTGAGGCCTTCCTGTAAGAATGAAAGGAGACATATAGAAAGATTTTTTTGGGGGGGCAACTTTTAAAGGATAAAGGTACTATAAGTGCAGTTATCTTTTAACAACATGGAAACATTTAGGGGGTTATTCACAAAGCTGCCTAAGGCAGCCTTGTGAATAACCCAGCCAAAGTGAAGTGAGCCGAATGCTGTTCGGGTATTCACTTCAGGCTTGTAGTGCAGAAGGATTTCGACTCAGCCGATATAAGATCTGTATCGGTTGAGCCGAAGCTCCGGCAGCTCATTGCTGCCATCCGCCCCTATTTTCATAGGGGCTGAACGGCAGTGAGTGAATAGCCGAAGGTCGTTGAGCCGCAGTCAGCTCGGCTATTCTGCTCGGTACCTCCAGGGTACCGAGCAGAATAGCAAATCAATGAAAATAGTTTAAGTAAAAAACATTTTTTAAATGTAAATAAATATTAAATTTTAAAAAATAAATAACGATTTAAAAAAAGAATAATAAAGAATAGCAGTGACAGCTAGCTCCACCCAACTGTTTCCTATTGGCCGGCACCTGCTAGAGTCTTCTAGCAGGTCCCAGCCAATGAATAACAAATGGGCGGAGCTGGCGGTGACTTCATAGCCGGATTTGCCCAGTTGTTATTGTTTAATGACAGATCAGCATATCCAGGTCATTTGGGGATGATGATCTGTCTTTACAACTGGGCGTAGCCAGCCGTGAGATCACGGCTGGCTCCGCCAAGCTGTCATTTGCAGGGTGTACTGCCGGCCTTTAGCCGGACTGTTCGCCCCACTTTAGCGGTCACTTCGGCTCGATCGAGCCGAAGCATATGCCTTTGGCTCGGCTGCCTTCAGCTGCTGTACGGGATATAGTGAATAACCCGTACAGCAGCCCCTCAGTACGACTGAACCGAATGGCTCTGGCGGCCGAAGAGAGCTGAAGGATCAACCGATTCCTTCGGCTTCTTTGTGAATTACCCCTTTAGTCCTCGTAAAAAAGGTTATACCATTGCTGTTGCATAATTGGTTCTGACCCCTACCATTCTGCTTTAAAGAAGTGTTTTCTTATGCAGTATGTGACCCTAGAATACAGTTCTCCTCATTTCTCGTTTCAGTGGCCACCATCACTTAACAAGGAGACGAGATAAATCCTCCGTAAAAAGGGACAAAGATAGCAATAAAAACTACACATATAAAAAAACAAAACAAAAATATAAATTGAAGAAAATTAGTGGAACTATAGACCTTTTCTTTTAATCAACATATGTTACCCAGAGAAGATTGCTTTAATCTCAACTGAAGTATAGGGACACTTAATGCTCTTAATATTGTCACTGAACCATGGAGAACCTGTGCCAGGTATTCTAGAAACAGAAAAAAACTCTTCTGGCTATAACTTTTTGCTTAATGTAAAATCTCCAAATTAATTATATTCTTGGTGAACTGAGAAATATTTTGGCTTCAATAAACTTTGGATATCTAATTTGAAATTTGGACACTGTTCACATTAATTTCACAAAGCATTTTCTCCATTTGAAAAGAATCCAATTTCTATAATTTTTTGGACACTGTGACCCTTTTAAATAGAACATATGTTTTGTGCAGACACACATTTCCCATCCAAGGGATGAGAGGTTGTCGAAAATTGTCTACACTCACATTAAAATGTATGAAACACCAAGCCGAGCCAGCAAGTGTTTCTGAAAAGTGTCAATAAAATCAAACAAAGAAGCTACATCATAAGAAGAAAAATGTGTAGCTTATGTATGAATTCTGTTGATTTTATTTTCAAATTATGTTTTTACAATTGTATTTCTGGTGAAGGCAAATATAACTACATAAAATTCCAATGCATTTATGTCCTTAACCTGTTTACCGGGAGCTAGAGGTTTGATATATATTGATCCAAGTTCATAAATAATATTATATATGCGTGTAATATATATATATAAATATATATATATTATACAATCAAAATTCAGACGAATTTTCAGAAATTCGGACATTCGGATGTATCCGAATTCCGAATTACAGATATAACGAATGCAAACGAATCCGAATTTCCGTTTCCGAAATTCGGTAGCGGTAGTT